CACAGGCGCATGCTCAGGGCCCAAATATATTAGGGCACAAATGTTTCCCTTAAAAAAATAGTAGTCAAAGCAGAACACAACTGGACTGGATGAACAATAGTGGAGGGGCTCAAAAGAATTTTACACATAAAACCTTAATGAATTGGAGATGTTTCACTCTATCGAAAAAAAAGCCCAGGGGCTGAGGCCCCTATGGCCATCCACCCCCAGTAGTCTAATAAATTAAAGGAACCAAAAAATTGTAGCATATAATAAGAGACAAAAATATTTTAGTAGATATTAAGGGCCCACAAATATATCAACTAATTAGTTGGAGAAGAATTTAAAAAAAAAATTAATTGGCCATTGGTTATATGATATTGCTTATTGCATCTCTAATTTTTTTTTTATCTCCAACAAGGTCCAATAATATTGACTATTGCTATCTCTATATGCTTGACTGTTTTTGTGCTTCAACAATTCAACGTTAGGATCATGTGCTTTCTATTGTTATATACTTTTGTTGGATATTTTTATCAATTTCTGCTTCTATTGACTATTACTATTTGGTTATGTTGTTCTAATTGTTTTTGGTGACTATTGTTATCTATTTTTGCTTCTATATAATATATTTTACTATTGTTTGACAATCAATCTATTGTTCTTATAATTTATGACATGTTTCATGGTTTTGTAGTTAATCAATAAATTTTTTCTACTAGATTATTTAGTAATATCTCATATATATGTCATGTTTCATAAACTTTTAATCTTAACATCTTATTTTAGTTGAAGAAAAAAAGAAAGAAAATAGAATTTAAATATTTTCATCAATTGTTTGACTTATATATCTTTAATTGAGATTCCATCACACCACAAGATTCTATTAAAATGCTCAAACAATCATTTGTTAAGCTTGCATATTATATGTTTAATTAATTATTTATTTTTATTGGATCTCAATGGATCATCTTTTCTTTCATATTCTTATTGATCTTCATTTGTCTACTTGTCAAGAAAACCTTGATAATCTTCTTTATTATTTATCTATCATTGACCCTCACAATTACTTCATTCACACGAATTCTCTTTTTATATCAAAATAACACAAATTTCTTGTTATGAACTAAAAATTTTATTATTTTTTATAAAAATTTATCAACCATAATTTATATACTCTTGGTTTCAAGTTACCTAATAAGAAATACGTAAATTTAAGTACTCTTTTACATATATGTAATACAGATAAATAAGATTTCTTTCCTCAGTAAATTATTAGCGTTTCTTTTGAGAAAATGTGCATTTTAAGCTTGTTTTCAATTCATTGATTAAACTCAGCCTTAGGTGTCATCCCTTAAAACTGGTAGAGGGGGGCCCATATAAAAAATCTGGAAAGGAAAGCAGCAGGGACGACAAAAAGAGAGCATTTTCCACTCAATTTTATACTAATGAAAAATATTTATTAAATTTTTCGTACTTATCGGGATCACTACAAGAAAAGTAAGCTTTGACGATGTGCCTATTAATTAGCGATGACATGTTTCCACCACAAGTTATAACAACGACATGTTGTTGTTGTATATACTCTTTTTGATGATAAATGGACTTTTGGCGACGATAAAAGTAGTTGCTACAAGCCTTGTTTCTTGCAGTGAGCCATGTTTTACGTTCGCCCAAAGCCTATAAATTTTCAGGAACATGCCTGCCTATAGGCCAAAACAACAAGCTAACCCAATACCCTCCAATTAAATCAACCTAAAACCAACGTGAGAGTTATTACTAACCCACAACTTGAAGCTTATAACATGTTCACAATTCTCTTTTTCTATTCATGTGGGACGGGTTTGTCGCAAGTGATTTATTTTTAAGTTCCATTTCATATGAGTTGAGCATTGATCTAAAATACAATAAATAAATTAAAGTTGACAAAAAAGAACTTGATAGGTTCACATGTTGAAGCCGTCTCATTCTAGCGTTGTTTTATTCACATGGGGTGTTACCCTTTGCCTTTGTCATTTAATAGCATGATTTGGATCGTGATAATGCAAGGCTGAAACTTTGGCTTTGTATCAAGAGACCATGGTTCATGCATGGGGGACTTATGGGTTGGTCTCATATATATGACCCCGTAGGCCCGAATGCATAGAGGCTTTTAACATTATTTATTGACTTATTGACGACAAGTTCTGTCATGTATAAGGCAAAGTGAATTAGATAGATGGATTTCTTGATGAGAGGACATGTATGAAAACAGCATTCAATTCTCAACCACTAAATGTTGAGTGCTGAAATCTTTAAAGTCGGCTCAATATTAAATAAGTTGTAAATCACAATATAGATACCATAGTATTACTCATTGTATGTATTTGTCTATGATTAATTAGATATATTATTCACTACAAAAATAACTACTTTTGTCAGAGGAAAATGTCGTTGGCAAAAGTCTTGAAAGATGCCGGCAAAAGCTTAACACTTTTTGCCGTCGGACTTTTCCGTCGGCAAAAGTTTTCGTGAGAAGTTGGTCTCTAAAAGGGTTTTTGCCGGCTAACAACATGGGCCGCCAATGAAGATACCTTTGCCGGTGAAAGATAGTCGTCGGTAAAATTTGAAGTCGCCGGCAAAAACGTATCTAAGAATCGTAAAAAAAATCCTTTTCTTGACGACTAAAGTCTCATTTGGTTTGCAAGAATAGAATGGATTTAGGGGAATTTGAATTTCAAATCCATTTCAATCCCATATTTGGTTTGTTGGATTTTCTGGATTTGAAATCATAGAATTTTGAAATCCTTAGGTGGCGCTCTGGATTTCACGTGATTTCGTAGGATTGTATGCAATAAAGTTTTAAAAATGTTAAAAATATTTATTTGTAATAATCGATTAATAAAATTGTAATTAATTTTTTTTGTTGTAAATGACCGAATCCAATTCCGTTTCAAATCCTACAAACAAAATACACCAATAATTTCAAATCCATATTAATTTCTCAAAAACAATCATGAAAACCAAACGAAACCTAAATTCTTTTTCTGGAACTAATTTTTTCCATCGGGAAAGGTTTCCTTTGACTATTTGGTCAAACGTTTATTGGCCCAAAAATCCCCTGGCAAAAGTTTTTTTAAATTTTCACGCATAACTTTTTTATCGATGCAAAAACTCACCGACAAAAGTTAAGGTTGACTCTTTCGGTCAAGTTTTTGCCGACAAAGAAGCCCGTTATCAAAAGTTCGTTGTACTTTTCGGTCAACCTTTTTACTGGCGTAAAAACCCGACGGTAAAAGTTGTTGACCTTATAATGAAACATTTATCGATGCCTACGGACGAATTTTTGGCAATAAAAATAACTAATAAGCAAATATAAAAGCAACTTAAAACATAAATTGGCTAATTAGTAAAAGAACATTACAAAGATATCTTTTAAACATAATCCCAACCAAATCAAAATATCATTTCAAACATATATAAGAAAATAAAGGTAAATAAAATGTACTAGTCAAGATCTTCTTCACCGTTCATCTTCCTCATGGACCGACTCAGATGGTTGATTAGGAGTTGCGTCATCAAAGATAAGTGAAGGTGGAGGCGGAGCTCGTCCCATTGAAGATTAGAACTTAGAGACAAAAACAAATGTCTAATATATGTAAATGACTAACTATGTTGAGTATAATGTTAATTTCTCTTTTCTTTGAACAACAAGGAACCAAATTCTTTAAACCAGAACCTAGCGAGACGTTAGATTACAAATTTTCTGAAAAACATGAAAGAGGATTACAACTCCGGTTTACAAAAAAAAAAATTCAAATCATTAAGGTCATAAAATTGATTTGATAATTAATTCTAATACTCAAGATAGTACTAATTTCTTGGCCAACGTCATAAGGCATGCATATGTCAATTGGATTTCCAAATCGTTGCTACAACGACCTTCTATAGCCATCACCAACTCTGACCAACGTAACTTTATAGTTCTGCACGATGGCCATCTTGGTATATGGTTGCATTGATGTCTATTCTAATTAATGATTAGCGGGAGGTCCGGATTAATGTACTAGGACTATCGCATACGATGATACCAAGGTATGGCATAGGGGACCATAACCCTCAGAGTAACTACCATTGTGTTATATTTTATATTTGAATGTCTAAATATCATGTGCATGACTATAATCTGTGAATTTGGATAGGGATAACGTTTATGTCTGCATTGCTTACTATCAATAATGGAATTAATTAATATGTTTTTTTGACCAGATATGTAACACTTATAACATTCATTTGGATAGGATGCACAATCAAATGAATCTCATATTGCGTCAATTTAAAAAACGATCATTATAAACGAAATATTATCAAACTATATAATATAATGTATGTTTTCAAATGTATATGCAATGTTAGGTAGATAATTAATAAGGTCTAGAATCGGTTGTAATATGTGCTTGATCTTATACATACATACATATATGTATACATACATACAATATAAAATATATAGGGTCAAGTTCAGGGAAAAACGTAAAAAAAATTGAAAATTTGAGAAACATTACGGTAACGTTCATCTGGAGGTATGCACTTGTACATACAACTAATTTGTAAGTTATGTGTCTGGTGTACACATGTATATAAAAATCAAGAAATAACTTCAATTACTTGTATGCATATGAGAAGAAAGTCAATTTGCCAGAACGCGAGAAGTTTCGATATCATATTTGATTACACGTAGATAGGCACGTTTAATCATATATGATTAAACACATATTGCATTTGACAACGCATAGCTTCACCAAGTCACTTGCGTCTCCGTCTCCTTTGGGTGTGTTTGATCACATATGATTAACTGTGCATATCACGTGTAATCATATATGATCTTAGAACTTATCGCATCCTCACAATTTGATTAACTTCTTGCATGATTATGTAATAACAACAGTTTATCATTGGTACCAAACTTAAAATGATTAACTTCTTGCGTGATTATGTAATAACAACAGTACTTTTATCATTGGTACCAAACTTAAACTTAATTTGAACAAAACTGTAACTTGGAGTGTATATATATTAATGCACCATACAGAACCCTGCAAAGCTCACAAGAGATTATGATTATCAAAATCATAATTTACCAATAACAAATTAATCTACTGTGTTATAGTTCTATGTACATAATCTTCATCCTTGACCCTAGAAACTTGCAGCATTTCTGCAATGGTTTTATAACTTCTAATGCCATTTCATTCCATTATTTTCAAAACTGTTTATTATATTCTTTGAATAAGTATTCCTGAGTTTTGTTTCTAATTTAATTATGTACTGGAGACTTCTTCCTAGCCGGAGTATAATCCATTCCAGCAATGTCTATATCATACGGGTAGTGCTTCGTGCTGACCTCCGTCTTCCAGTGTTTAGAATTTTGCAGCGAATTGAACGAGGAAGTCTCTTCCTTTCCTATTAGCCCATGAGTAGACTGGACCTCTGCTTCTGGATCATGTTTATATTCATCACTCTTCTGTGCAAGAAAATAGCTTTACATTGTTAAAAACAAGAAATCTTTTACTTCATTATTGCTCCTAAATAATGATAGTTTTGCTGATTAAGAAAAACCAACCTTGGTAATAATAGTGGTAGTTTTAGAGGATATGATTTTTGTCATAAGCTTTCTATTTGTTCCTGCAAAACAAAGGAAAAAGACTTGAGAAAAACACATGATTAATTAGGGAAAGGAATTCATACCATCAAGGAAGGATTTTTCAACAGTGAAACAAATTTGATTATCCGAAGTACGTAATCAGAGAACTACAAAAATGATTCCTTTTCTCTATATAGAACCCTTGATCTTTCTAGAACTAAAATCTCGCATCGCCAATTAGATTATACCCGATATTCTAGGACGTACCAACATAAACTAGAATACAAATCAAGATCAATAGTGTTAGTGAATTTAAACAAGGTCAAGAATGGGGGGGTTATAATTTTTTCTAGCAGGTGGAGACATTTCATCTTCTACAAATTTAGTAACGAATGTTTTTTAGTTAGGCAGGTGGGAGATATCAATGGTGACTAGGTGGGTGGTGTCTGGGGCCATAGTAGTCTTCATGAATCTTTGGCAGGCAGTGGCCATCATGAGAGTTCTTGGTTGCTGCTTTACAAGATAATCTTCTCTTCTTTATTGTGTTACCTGATGAAATTTCAGCAGTCTGTACCAGTGATTGACCATCTTCACTGCTTCCTTTAACCAATGAAATCTATACCAAATTAATAAACAAAAGATCATGAGATAATCCATACCAAATTGCAAGAAAGGCCTTATTTTTACATTAATTCATGAATGAAACACCGACCTTGACGATGTCTTCATGGTTGCTAGGTGATAAAGTTACTTTTCCCAACCTTATACCTTCATAAAAATCAACAGAAACATTTATATCAAAAGAACAACCCCATGAGAATCATTTTTATTGAATATACCAAGCAATTTGATATATTTTGGCACAGTAAAAATACCTTGAGCTTTATAAGTTAGGAGACTTGACAAAACCAAGATGGTGAACATCAGATAAATCTTCATACTTGTGAAATAAACTGAAGGAAGAGGCTTCAAAATATGCAAACTTAAGCTGTTTCAGAGGTTATGTGTGTACCCAATTTGAACAACAAATTGATATATCGTCTCTAGATCTCAGTATCATAAACAAGGCAAGCAAGAAATCTTGAATTGTGTGTAAGATATGCGGTATCCCAGCTTCTATATATATGAGGTAAGGGTAAGGGACCCACATCAGGTAGGGTTTCTATACCGTTTTCCCTAATTCTTTAATTGGTTTTGTAATTGTTATAATTTCATTAGGTGTATTTTGATATCTTAATATTAAATGATTTGGGAGGTTTTCAATGAAAAGGTCCCTGTAGAAGGAGGGGACAAAACTGTCCACATTAAAGTTTGGGTTTCCATTCTCTTGAAGTTACATACTTGTACCTCCTTTTTGACCAACACAAATGGTTAGAAGATGAATATAAAGAGAGAAAAGAGGATGGACTGAACTTTTAGGGGTCATCTACATGACTTAAACAAGTATGATGTTCCCTTAAAGAGGTTTCCAAATTCCAGTTTAGATTTCTTTATAAACCACACACATACATAAGGGTTCCCATTTACAGATTAGATTTCTTAATTGACCACACACTAGAACACATACACACACAGAAACATGCCAATCTAGTTCTTGTCCATCAATGTCATCTCTTTTTCACTTCTCCTCCATCAAAAGAAGCTTTCAATAAATGCTTCATTTCAAATGAATAACGAAATCTTATGGACATGATTATATAATAGTATATGTGGTCCTTGCATGCACTACAACAAAATTGATTTTATATTACACTCCCAAATTCTAAGTGTCCTAATAAACCTCTTTATAAGACCAAAAAATTAAATGTCTTATCTAAAGGTGTTGTAATAAGTTTATATGACGTTTTTCGATGTCGTAATAAGTTTTTTATGACATTTTTAATATAAAACGTCCCATTATCAACTTTATAGGACATTATTTGAAAATTTGTCATATAAAAACAAATGTCCTATAAAAAAATTGAGTTTATAGGACATTTTCTCAAAAGTGTCCTATAAAGTTGATAATGGGACGCTTTATATTAAACGTGTCCTAAAAAACTTATTACGACGTCAAAAATTGTCATATAAACTTATTACAACACATTTAATTAGATAGGACACTTTATTTTTTGGTCCTATAAATATGTCTATTAGGACACTTACAATGTGGAAGTGTTTTATAAAACCGATTTTATTGTAATGATTAGACCCATATTTATATATTTTAGAATAAGGATAGTACCACTCATGTACCAGAGAAAACCATAATTGGTTGGTCATTATTCCACTTATATAGTCATCTAAGGAATAATTAATTAGGGCTTTAAATTGTTGGAAAAAAGTTAGTTGTACAACTTTTATTTAGAATGATTGGTTTTGTAGAATGCCAAAAATATCTCTATGATTACTTAAACACTTGCTTCTCTTTCTTGATCACTCCTATTATTTCATTGGATTCTCTAATAATTACTTTTCAACTCTTTAAATTCGATACCGTTTATTTTCTTTGTATTTCATTTTTAATGAAATGTCCAAGTCGATTAACAGTTGCAGAGTTAGTCTCTCCATAATACATTTGTAAGAATGTTTATAGAAACCCTTTAAATTTTTTAAAAGATCCAAGGGTCGAAATTCTTAACCCAAAACAGTACACCATACATTTATAAAAAAGGCACTGCACTTTCATCCCTCAAGGCTTAATTTATTCGTTCTCCTACCACAAGTATACAATAATCTCTATGGAGAACAAGCATTGTTGCTTTCTTTTCAACCCGGTATAAGATATAGTCGGTTTTTGTTAATATTGTGTGTTAAACAATGACAAAAATTCACTTCACATTCTTCTCCATTTGAAAATCCCAATATTTTAATTTGCTCACTATCTATCATCAAGAGCAAATACATTCAACAAAAAGAGGTCTCGGATGCCCCAATGGATCAACCATAAAAGAAAATAATTTGTTTTTCTACGCATTCTTAAAACATGTATCCTCAGTTATCGAATATTAAGAATCTGCCACTGTCTTTCATCATGACTCCGCTTCTTAAGTATCTCGTATCATCAACTTTGGTATAAGTTGATAGAGATGCTATTTTTACCTCTTTTTTTATTAACCTGGATATCCAATCCGCTATGTGAACCGATTAATCGTAGAACGACCACCTGCTTTGCAGATAAACCAGAGTCATCGTATTTGAACCTCCGTAGCCACAAGAGAATTTTTATTCCTTCTTGGATTTAAACATGTGACCTCCTGGTACTTTTGATCTTTGGAGTCAAACTCAAATCAATTAAACACCACCCGTGTGGTTTATTTTTACCTTTTAGTTGCTTTATTCCTACACTTTAAAGTACAAAATTACGGTGTAATCATATTGATCTTAAAACTATAAGGTTAAAAACTGCTAATATATTAAACCAAGGGGGAGCTAAGTAGACACTAAAGATATGAAAACAAAAAGTTAGATTAGGGTTCACGTATGGGACCTATGAGCACGTGGCAGGGGACATATGGAGTTAATGTGACGGCGACAGAGGATGGTAAGCAATCGCCGTCAGCAGACGTGGAGGGTGTGATCGCCAAACTCATAGAAAAACCTAACCTGGCAAAGATGACGTGGCACTTAACAAGTCACACCCCTATGTTGGGGATTTTGTGAACAAATAGACACCGGAATGAATGTTGCCTTTTTATCATGAGTTTTTAATTCTTTAAATAATAAAACACCAAAAAGAACTAGTAAATATCAAGTTAATAATATTTTGAGTAATTTATGATTTTTATACATGTGGTTTATGAATAATTTTGATTTTGATTTTTACGTTTTAAAATTTGTCATTTTCGTTCTTATGTTATTTTTATCTCTAAACTAATTTTTATTTTTAAGTAGGAGAGACCAAAATAGTAATGAATTATAAATTAAAAGAACCAAAACAATAATAAATTATAAATGATAAGAATGAAAATAACAATAAATTGAACACTATAAGGATGAAATTAAGGGTGTTCATCTAAATTGTCAAACCGCACAAACCGTCCATAGGGCACCATATCGCACTGCAAAACGTGGTTTAGAACATTCATGGTGCAATTTGCGGTACACATTTTCATCGAACTGCACTTTGCGGTGCAGTGCGGTTTACGGTTTTGAGTTACTAAACCGCAGTTCAAACTGTACCGCACAACATATTATATATATATATATATTTAATATATATATATATATATATGTGTGTGTGTGTGTGCGTGTGTGTGTGTGTGTAACACCCCAAGTTCCACGTTTGCATATAATCATGTGTGTGTGTGTGTGTGTAACACCCCAAGTTCCACGTTTGCATATAATCATGTATTTCATATATCAATAAATACAAATAATACACCTTTGGTCCCAACTGTACAAGAAGTTATATTACAAAATTTACAACCAAAAATTTCCAAAATAATATTCTTGTATATGATTTGTATATATAACAAGTATTCCAAAAATCTATCAGATAACATGTTGTTCTTCATAAATCAAATAAGCATAACAGGAAAATTTTACATTTCCCCCTTTCCCTTATCCCTAGGCAAAGCTTGACCTGCAATGCACATTTTTAAACATAAAATGAGGGTTAGACCTGGAGATATAATGTTCGGCAAATCGGGAATGTTCAATAAATCTTTCAGTATATTCACGTAACGTCCGACTACCCTGTTCCAACTTCAAAAAGTCTTCTTCCATTTATCTAACTACAACTTTCATAAATAATTGTACTTTAAATCGATCAAAAAATTCCGACCAAGACATTGTTTGCAAAATATCAGGTTTGACTAGTGACTCCACATTCCACCAATACAAAGCATTAGATTGCAACATCGATATCGAAAATCTGACCTATTTTCCTCTGGCCATTTGCTGGTGTTGAACATAGATTCAAACTATTTTAACCATCACATTGCTTTTACTGGTTCTCTTTCTCGAGAAAATGTTGCGGGCTTACAGGTCAAGAACATCTTAATATCACCCCCTTTGTTGTTGGTTGATTGAAGTTACGGATTTACCTCAACTCTTTTAGTTTCAATTCAGGCCGGTACCCTAATAATAGATGTCAGAGTGTCTCTAAATTTACTCATTTCTTCCGCTAATACATTCCCGGTCACATATCTAGGCTGTGGCATAGGTTCTTGGTTTAGATTTCCAGAAATTGGTTCATTCTGTTCTAAGGTAACTCAGATTGACTTCCTCTTCCCGTATTTCTTCCACGGCCTCTACCCCTGTCTCTTCCTCTGCCTCTACCTTCAGATAAACTAGTTGGAACATTATCAGGTGAATTTTCTCTTTCATTTGGGTTGGGGAGAGTGATTTTTTTCAGACATTCGGGAATGACTGCCATCTGCAAATTTTTAATATTAATAATCACATAATCACATTCCCAAATATAATAGGGTGTCTAAGTATAGATATGCATCTGTAAATTCATAATTACATTTGCCAGTTGTAATTCGAATTTACCTTACATACTGTCCTCTTAACCCATCATTTTTATCCCAATGGTTCTATCTATGTCAGGGACCCTTATTATGCAAATAATACAGTTTAAGTCTATGTATCAAGATGAATACCTAAATCCCTTAAACCTAGCTCTGATACCAACTTTATAACACCCCAGGTTCCATATTTGCATATAATCATGTATTTTATATATCAAAAAATACAAATAGTACACCTTCGATCCCAACAGTATAAGAAGTTATATTACAAAATTTACAACCAAAAATTTCCAAAATAATATTCTTTTTCACAACTTGTATAGATAACAAGTATTCCAAAAATCCATCAGATAACATGCTGTTTTTAATAAATCAAATAAGCATAACAAGAAAATTTCACATTTCCCCTTCCCTTTATCTCTTGGCAAAGTTTGACCTGCAATGCACATTTTTAAACACAAAATGAGGATTAGACATTGGAGTCTAGTGAGAAATCCTTTTTCTTTGCAATTACAGGGTGAAAATCACCAAAACTTGTTATAAATTTATATTTGAAATCTCACGAATGTCCAACAACTTTTGTAAAATATAACTCAAATATCACAAACACAATGTGAGTTATAAAAAATCATTCCTTA